ATGCACACATCATTCCACCATGCCGTCACAAGCACAATGATTTTTAGACGGCTATTTTTTGTTGCCTCGGAATTTCCGAAAATTCACTCCCCCACCCCTAATGTAGAGCTTCAATCCATCAAGCAAGCGTGTGTGTGGGGCGAGGGGGATTGGTTTCAGTTTGTCCCCCTAATTCAGTCTCTCGATTGCAGTCATTATTGAAAGTGTGAAGGTGAGTGAATTCCAGGGCGGCAGGCAGTATTTCAGGAGATTATTTGATGAATTTCAGGTCAACTCAGCCAGAACAATGCCAAGAAATTTCTATCGTATCAAGAAGCGTCTGAAAAGAATTGCGATACGATGTGCGGAAAGGCTGAGCTAAGCGGCAAGGCGTGTGCATGGGATGGGCTGATCAACAAGGTTCAGTGCGTTAAAGGTTCGTCGCCACATTGTTACACTGACACTTACACTCAGTTGAAGTCCAGTCTCTGTTCCAGTTAAACAATTCTGTTCCTGTTCCATACGATGGTATAGAGTAGAACTGCTCTCAAACAAGGAACGCGCAGAACAGAACAGAATAGAGCCGTTTTGGGCAGGAATAGAACAGAATAGAATAGAATAGAGCCGTTTTGGGCAGGAATAGAACAGAATAGAATAGAGCCGTTTTTGGGCAGGAACAGAACAGAATAGAATAGAGCCGTTTTTGGGCAGGAATAGAACAGAATAGAATAGAATAGAGCCGTTTTTGGGCAGGAATAGAACAGAATAGAATAGAATCAGTGCTTTTCGTTGACTGAATCTGCTGATGGAATTTTGAGGGTGTCAATGAAGTGGAGAGTGAATCTTTGAAATGAGGAATCCAAAATTTTACAAAAAAATTTCAGAAATCTGCAAAAAATTTCTTAAGAGAGCCAGCCAGCTATCGCTTAGCTCTTTTTCGTGAAACCTGCATAGTGGAGTGCATTTGAACTGATTTAAAGTAAATTCAAGTGACGGCGATCCCCTCCCGGTGTCACTGCCGCGAAAATTTTGCGCTATTTCAGTGCCATCGCTTTGCATGCGTGACTATCGTGTCCTCTACAGTGGTGACTATATTGTGCAGCGTGTGGCTGAGGCTAAAAAGACTCGAGTCAAGAGCACAACACTCAACTCCGCACCACCCGTCTCAAACGAGCAGCCGCCTACAAGCACCCCCACCCCCACAACCACCCCCACGACGAGCACCACAGCAAAAACGACGACGAGCAAATTCGCATCAACCAAAAATAAGCTCCGCAAAACTAAAAACAAAACATCAACCAGCAAAAAACACCCGGCAAAACATGACGGCGACCACCAAATTTCGATGACGGCGGCCACTAAAGTGAAGTTTTCCCGCAAGCCGTCCAACTCCACTAGAGCTCCGATGAAACAAACTCGACGACCGTCATCATCTTCGAGAGATGTGACGGCCAAAGCAGAGCACTCGTCATCACCGTCACCTCAACACAACTCTAAAACAACCACTAGAGTGCCTCAGTTCAGCCGCACTACTAAGAAGCCGGCTAGACGCATCTCGAATCATAAGAATAGTCGACTTTCAATGGTGACAACGGCATCTAAACCGCCTCTCAGCCTTATTGCCACTAAGAAGAAGTCCAATCGAACAGCTCACAGAAAACCCTTGAAATCGCTAAAATTCAACGAAACTGATAATTCGCAGCTGCGAACAACTATCGCAAATACTAAGAAGAAGCAGCAGCAGCAGCAGCAGCCGCATTTGGGCATAGCTCGGAACATTCAAATAAACCTGACCACAGCATTTGATGAGGGCGACGCAGTGCTGACATCTTTGGAAGCAAGTTTCTTACAAGATGATCTTGCCTGAATGAATTTCTTGCCCGTAGTTTTTTAAGGAGGTGAAAAAATTGAGGCCATGATTTTCGGTGGTTTCGTTGCTTCAGGTTAACGAGAAAAATTTGCGCGAAATGGCCAAA